GGATAAGTTAGGAGCATTCTTTTTAATATCTAGTCCAGAGATCGACATATGGCACTGGATAGCAGGGTAGTATGAAAATTGATAAATTTCCTGTCAAGAACGACGGAAAATCCTAAAGCAATAGACACACACAGTCATGAATTTTATCCCATAACGTCCAAAACCCCATAGCAGCATTGCCATGGCAACGGTTATAACAGAACACACGTTTATGAACGCTACACCAACCAAAGTAAGAACGAGCACTTGGTAATTTTTCAAACAGATGTTAATAATTTGCTATCAAAAACTTCTACAGGAAACCTGAGCATTGCAGGTTGCATAGGAGCAGGAGATGTTCTCTCGGGCGACTCGCGTTAAAATTGGCAAGGGAGCGAGTGAGAGAGAGAGAGAGAGAGAGCCGACGCAAAATAAAATTTGTTACATCAGACCGAACATCGAATGGACGTCAGGTCCTCAGGGCTTTGCCACCCCCAAAGTCCATTCTCTTTATAACACTACCCGCTTTTAACTACGAACAAGATCTCATCAGCGAGGCTTCGCCCCTCTCCTGTGGAGACAGGAAGGGGAGGGTCCACCCCACAACACTCCAAAATAAAAAGACATTTTCCATGCCGACACCTTTACTCAAATGCTTCTACGCCCTATGCAGATGCCCCCTTGAGATATTCGCTTTTCTTTTTATAAAAACACACCCCTTGATCGAGAGACAAATTGGCTGGAGGCGACGTGCATTGCCGTGTCCATTATCCTCTTTTGAAGCAATAACAACACGGGAGATGCTCGTAAGTTAACAGCGCACACTTTGCTATTGTAGGATTCAACCTAGAGGATGGGTTAAGAACGGCCAGCAGCGCTCAATTTGACACGTTGCCAGATCGTCAGCATAAATCTCACTTCACAAAATTAGGCATTTTTAAAAATCGTGGTCCCTGGCTTGTAACCTTGGATTTTAACACAGTGTGTATTATTATTATTGACTAATGCGGATACTTTACATAAATAAATAATTATAAGTATAAATAATTTTAATTTTATAAGAATCACATACGCATATACGCTAAATTTACTCAAGTTGGTATTATGTCAACGTCCACACACAGTGTTCAAAGTGATTTCCTTATATACTCTAAAGTAAATAATCGAATCAACTACTCCCACATCACAGGAGACATTAACAAGCATTTGTTTACTCAGATATGTTCATATCTCATTTCTGTGAAATGTTGAACTACTTAAATTCTCATAATGTCATGTATACTCAATATTGAAGTTATCTGAAGAGATAATTGGCAACACTGTAGTGTGAACCGAATACATAAATTATAAATGTATTATATATATTATAATCATATTCAAAATAACTCATTACAACACATTTCGATTAAGGACGAGAAGAAAACTTTGTTGGAATACGCTTCAAATTCAGGGACATAATTATCGAAAATTGTAAGATTTCTATCTAATTAAATATTGTACAATTTTTTTTAAAAAATCATTAGTTACGACCCTAATAAATGAAACAGAAATATCAAATGTAATTTCCTTATACTGCATTAACTTCTTTTATCGATTTTCTACAATAAAGACGCCGAAAGCCATGTTGGAATCGAATAATGAATACGTGGTTGAAGTCCAGCCAATAGCGTGATAAAGTAGCTGAGGACGGGCACAGCTGGGGGTACTTCAGTGTGAGGGAAAGTTACCCTATTGAAGCCTTAATATAGGGCTAATTTGTTCCTCCAATGCGCACACTCTGGTTTTATGTATAATGAACTTAGCAAGCCGAAGGAAAAATGAAATACATAAGCTAGGAGAAATGTCTTATTGGTAAACAACGCCTCAAAATTTATAGCCATACAATCAGACGTAAACAATAATATCCCAAGGATGTAAGGATATCTAATAACAAATATAACTGAAATGTATACAATAAATTGAGGTTATAATCTGGCAGAAGTAATAATGATGGATAGAACTGACTTAAACATAACCTAAAAAAAATAAATAAAGTAAATCAATCCACGTGAATTAATAATTAATGAAGTTACGTAGTTGGTAGCTAATTTTGCTAAACTGACAGGCCTCCTGTAAGATCTAATACAAATACCGGGTGATGCTCCAGCGACTTATCGAAACTGACTGTACTCTTGAACAGGCCTGCCACAGGTCGCGACTTCGCCCTGAAGCTATCTGCTTGCTTCTATACACCGAGCATGAATAGAGGACCAACGAACTGGCATTAAGACGAATCAACTGTTACAGCGTGTGATTGCCAGCAGGGGTTGGGGGTGGGGGGGTCACAGACCAAGGACCTGACCAACATTTGCGTTACACTTTATAAATTACTTCCCATGTTCAAGGGGCTGTATTTAGGATAATATTAGTGGTTTCAAAACTCGCTTACACTTTGTATCCAAAGTGACATTAAAAAAATAAAATTTCTTGCAAAATACGGTAAGAAGGGAAATACGTAATTCATAAGTTCACCCAGAATTTTAGTACAGAAACCTGAAGGGAAGATGCCACTCTCAAGAAAAAGATATTACTAAAGTGAATTAATTTGAATATCACCACCCTGCCTATGATCTTAAAGAGGTAGAATGTAAAGATGTGGAGGAGATTCAAGAGGCAGGCTCTTGTGGTAATAATATTTGTAAAAGATTAGATATTTTGACTGTCTAAGTGATTATAATCTTCTTTGCAAATATTGCACTGATCTGAATTTGTTAGATAAAAATATAAAAATATCTACAGACTGTCATTTTAGTCTGGGTAAAATAATATCTTCTTGTCATTAACTACTATTATGTTTGTCAATATCAGTTGCAGAATGTGTAATTTTATCATTATTAACAATAGGGACAGGACAACTAAATTTAAAACATCAAAGTAACGTCTTCCTATTAATAACAAAGTAAAATACATTCAAACAACCAAGTTGAATACAGAATAAAAGCTAACTTCTTCATAACAGCACTAAATCGACCATTCGCAAGTAATTATATCGATTGGGAAATGTAAGTGATCTATCCTATTAGGTACGTGTACTGAGATCACAAACACACAGAGACCTGGTGTTATTTTTGACACGAAGTTGGCTACCCTTGTTATCCTTATCATTATCTAGAAGTACAAGAATATGCAAATAGTATTAATTACGACTTACTTTCGATGTCTTCACTGGATATCTGTTGCAATAACAACTGATATGAATCTTGGACTGATAATGGTTATAAAGTGAGACTATAAAATTCTCAGAGAAACACAATAAAACTCACTTTTGCACACGAGGCCGGAACACGTCTTTGACTCGACACGCCATCTTACACTCGAGTCGAGTACCAACACGACCAACCTAAAATCGCAAAATTTAACATCGTTAGAGATATATTAATTTTCTCCATTTTACATGTGCGTCATATGTCTTTGTACTGATTTGATATCATTTTGCTCAAAATGGACTATAAGATAATTAATTACATGTTGAACATCGATGAATTTAGGTTCTCACTGCGACGAGTGTAGAAATAATATGGTAGGATGTAGTACTGTGTGGTGTGGTAATACTGATCGGGCTGAAAACCTCCATTCCACGGCGATTGCAAAATTAATTCCCACGCTATTTCGGTAACAAACAAAGCGTGAGAAACGAATGTTGAAGGATTCCGACACAAGACGCGAAATTAAAACCTCGTAAAATAAATGAACTTCAGTGTGGGTTTACTGTATCAGGTAGAAATGTCACCAAACGGTGGTGACTGGAGGACGTGTAGTAGGGAGGTACTTGGTTCGAACATCGACTAGTCTTAGGCTTTTCGTTGTATTCCTCAGTATCTCCCAGACAATAGCCTTAAAACATGGGAAGATAATTCCTTACCCAGTAATATGAAGAACGTCATTAACTACTATTATGTTTGTCAATATCAGTTGCAGAATGTGTAATTTTATCATTATTAACAATAGGGACAGGACAACTAAATTTAAAACATCAAAGTAACGTCTTCCTATTAATAACAAATTAAAATACATTCAAACAACCAAGTTGAATACAGAATAAAAGCTAACTTCTTCATAACAGCACTAAATCGACCATTCGCAAGTAATTATATCGATTGGGAAATGTAAGTGATCTATCCTATTAGGTACGTGTACTGAGATCACAAACACACAGAGACCTGGTGTTATTTTTGACACGAAGTTGGCTACCCTTGTTATCCTTATCATTATCTAGAAGTACAAGAATATGCAAATAGTATTAATTACGACTTACTTTCGATGTCTTCACTGGATATCTGTTGCAATAACAACTGATATGAATCTTGGACTGATAATGGTTATAAAGTGAGACTATAAAATTCTCAGAGAAACACAATAAAACTCACTTTTGCACACGAGGCCGGAACACGTCTTTGACTCGACACGCCATCTTACACTCGAGTCGAGTACCAACACGACCAACCTAAAATCGCAAAATTTAACATCGTTAGAGATATATTAATTTTCTCCATTTTACATGTGCGTCATATGTCTTTGTACTGATTTGATATCATTTTGCTCAAAATGGACTATAAGATAATTAATTACATGTTGAACATCGATGAATTTAGGTTCTCACTGCGACGAGTGTAGAAATAATATGGTAGGATGTAGTACTGTGTGGTGTGGTAATACTGATCGGGCTGAAAACCTCCATTCCACGGCGATTGCAAAATTAATTCCCACGCTATTTCCGTAACAAACAAAGCGTGAGAAACGAATGTTGAAGGATTCCGACACAAGACGCGAAATTAAAACCTCGTAAAATAAATGAACTTCAGTGTGGGTTTACTGTATCAGGTAGAAATGTCACCAAACGGTGGTGACTGGAGGACGTGTAGTAGGGAGGTACTTGGTTCGAACATCGACTGACTAGTCTGAGCCTTAAAACATGGGAAGATAATTTCTTACCCAGTAATATGAAGAACAATTAACTTAATTCTTCAATGCATTTAATAAATCGTCATTAAAGAAAACTGGATTCGTCTTATGATATCGGCGAGACACAAAAGGTTAGCAGGTGGAACGTTCAACAGGTGGATAAACAATCATGAAAATGTGGGAGGCCATGAAATGTTTGTATTAAAATTCAAAGAACTTTTTCTGCATGTTACAATGTTAGTCTAAAACCTCATCTCATCGCCCTGTTGATGGATGCAGTTAGCGCCTGCGAAACGTCCGATAATTTCTATCAGACTACACGGCATAACATCACATAATACGTTCGTGAGAACCTGAAATCTCACAAACTATTTAAATTTTTTTTATGATTGGGCCTTGAAGTGCTTAATGATTGCATCGATGTAAATCAAAATGGAAGATATACAAATATCGACTGAATTATCGAGACAGACACAAACGAATAATTTCCCTCTTGTGATTAATGAATTTACTTATTAATTTACTTTACTAAGACAAACTTAAGAGGGTATATAAGTGAGCAAACATTAATGATAAAAATGCATCCACAGAAGTTATGAAAAATGTTATCAAGGGATCTGACGCCATTTTAAGGATTTTATAAAAAAAAATTGTCTCTCCAACATTTTGCACTTATTTTAAAAGCAAATGTTATAAAAATAAACTGGCCTTATGCAATTAGTAACACTTATTGGAATAATTATTTAAATCTAATTATGACTTAGTCAATTTCTCTTCAACGTCCTCCCTATTCTGCACTTAAGTAGTCAGACTCGTCCAATTTGCACTCAGAACATCTCATTTAGACAAGGGGAGTGCGATAGGGATTTGCGGTTCGCGAGCCCCAGTTTGAACTAGATCCTGTTACAGGACCATGTGGCTAATTTACATCAAATGGGGCAAGCTCTAAATAAAACACATAGCTTCAAGGCACAGAACCATACAAATTATACAGTAGTGTCTGGATAATGCATACATAGGGGTCTCTTGTGCAACGGAGTACTTTTATTTCGAGGGGTGGGGCGGGGGGTTGATATCCTACATTGCCTAATCACAAACAATTATATGTAATCCCGCTGATATCCACTGATTTCACAATGGCAGAGACGTTAATTAGAACATCCGGTTAAATAATTCCACGGAGCACAGCCTTTGAGAAGCTAATAGTTGCTTACCTAACCAAGAAGTTCGCTGTCTTTCACAGAACACTAAGATTTGTTAACCTGTCCACAAGAGCCAGATAAAACCAGTACACATTCTTATATCCTATTTATTTATGACTTATTTCAATGTTATCCTTCCATCTATGACGGGGTCTACTACGTTGCCCCTTTCTTTTCAGAAAAGCCATATTTTTGGCCAGGATATTTTTCATATCTATCTCCGACGGGTGTTAAATGACTCGCCCCAATCATGGTAATTATATGTACCAACTGCGTTAACGTCCAATACCTATGTATTTTCCCGTAAAGTATATTTATGTGTATGATTATTGCGATTATTTCCATAAATATTAACAAACTGATGGTTGTCATGGAGATGAACTGTTTTCTTTGAGGTAAGAACTAGATTTTTAAATATTATTCGGACGAGTTCCGTGTTTAAGTGGATTAAGTAGGGGAAGTATCTGAACGTAGTACAGAGTCAGATATCGTTTTATAAAGACCTCGGGACTTCAAAATACGACGTTCGGGTTTCTTCGATTAGGCAGCGAAGTTTAACTGTCTCCACAGTTCTTGAACGTTAAATCACGCACACTAATCCAGCAGCTTCACTTCAGTAAACAGCACGCGAAGTTAAACTCAAATAACCGAGTGTTAATTGTCACTATATTGTTATGTTAACGAAGTGTTACTATTCTGAGCATTAAGATTCGCATTCGGAAACCAGGACCTTCCGCGGCATATGGCAAAACCGTTTCCTGACTAACTTCGTGGAACAGAGTCGTTATAGGGAATCTTACAGTGTCTCATCTGATCACGAAATTATCCGCCAATTACAGTAATCCACTGTTCAGAGCCGTGCTAACAAAATCTCTCCACTTTGCAACTTCCTGAACCACACTCTCATACCCTGATTATTTTAAGATTCACTTTAATATTATACCCCCATGTACGCCTAGGTCTCTCGAGAGAACTCTTAAGTTCTGAGTAAAATCTGAAGCACTTAAGGTGGTGACTTTGAAGACGGCAGTCTTCTGGGATGTGGCGCCGTGTAGCTTGGTAGAATTTCAACAACAACCACTGAAACGTCGGTGAACTACTACCAGACGACAACACGACGTAATATACCCCATCCCAAACTAATCTAATCTATCACAACGCTATCTAATTAACCTAGCCCACATAACGGAACCCAACCTGACCTATACCGACAATCCAGAATGTCAGGTCGCCTGGTCGCCAAGATGGCGAGTATCATAAATCGCACACGCCTGTCCAATACAACGATTACCAGGTCGCCAGACTAACGCACCCTTAAGTAACCTAACCTAACCTAATATAACCCATCTTAAGCAGAAACAAATATGTAAACCACGAAGAAACTTGACTGTGGACGACAATGTCAGGAGAGTAAAGAACAGATTGTCGCAACCTGACGAAGGCTGTGGAATGTGCGAATGTTAATTCCGGTGGAACCGGCCGGCCTGACGGACGGTGACGTGACCATCGAGGAAGTGGTGTGTACTTGTCGTAACTGCAACCATTACCGAGGTGGTAACGATTATGTCGACGCCATTTGCAACATCCGTGGCGTGACGTCGTGTGGCTCTCAAGTGCGTCGTTCTGGGAGCTCGTACCACAAACAGGACGCGACGTCTCGCAGAATTAAAGCAGAGTAATCGTTACATGTAACAAGAGATGGCTCGTTGAATTTCTAAGACTTCGGTCGATAATTTTGAACTCGAAACGGGTATTTATTCTGCATTTGTAGTCATGGATGTGTGAAATTGGTGGAAGACAGTCGACCAGTGAGCGGGTGAATTAATGAGTTAAGAAATTGGCGAAATTAAAGACTTGTAGCGATAAATGAACTAGTTAAACTGCGAATGAATCAAGGGATGAATCAATTATCAACTAAACTAAGGGCGAAATTAGCGCACGAATGACAGAATGAATACGAATAGACTACACAATATTTGGGCGACCAGAGATTCAACTGCAGGTAATCTATCGGCCATTATGAACTACGAGGTTTATGGTTAGTAGTCTATTAAAAGGTTTACAGACTCTCGATGTATAGTTTCGAAAAGCGGGTTATTTCAAGTCCTCACGTAAAAATACCTACTCAGATTTAATAACACACTTCCATCTACTACTGGGTCTTCTACGCACACGTGTTTTTTATTTATTATTAGTATTCTGTCTGACGACAGGTCCATATGAACAGGATCCTTCCATCCTTTTCTCGGACTGGGACCTGTTCATATACGTTCTTGGCAGATGATCCAGAAGTGGTTTGCCATTGCCTTCTTCTGTGTGGGAGTGGAGTAATTGTTGGGATGCCACGGAGAAACCGGGGAAGCCCCCGGAGGAAAACTCCGTGTTGCCTAGACCACGGCCTTGCCCAACACAAGTTATAAATTCGGGCACCGCCGGGAATCGAACCCGAGACCCCAGGATTACAAGGCCAGCGTTCTAACCGCTAGACCATCGTGGCACGTCACACGTGTTTAGGCCCGTAAAATGATCTGTCCAATGCTTCTCCTGCTAATTAAGATTAAACGTTCATAACAACACGGACAACTCAGATCTTATGAACAGTCAGTATAGCACCTACAAAAAGCATGACGCTTCAAGGACGTCTTTTGTTTCGAGAGTTTCGCGCGTCAGTTTGGAGGCTTTGATCTAAATAAAAACAAAGCAGTCATATAGGAGTGTGGTAGGGGTCCTAAGAGATTCTTGTCTGTCCAACAAAACTGCAAGAATGAAGAAAGCGGAAGGAGGAAAGAATAAGGAGAGATGGTTGCTTCTTGGAGCAGAGGCAATCAATACAAGGTGCCGTACGCTTACAGAATTCTAAAGGAGCTTACACAAAATGAGTGCAGACCAAGTTGAAAGGGAGAAGAGAACTGGGGTGGGGGGGGGTGGAACTTGGGGAAGAAGATCGATTTAAGAAATTGGGGTGTTGTGTAGGGAGAGGAGGGGGTTGGTTAGAAGATGCGCTGGTACGCGAAGAAAGGAGAAAAATTACGGGGAGACGAAACGAGTTTCAAGTTTTGACTTCTGAAAAGTCGTTACCAATGCAAGAAAAATCAATTCAGAATTAAATTTTAAAAAAGTGTTAAAGTTCATGTATGTCTTGTGTCTTAACAGGCCCGTGTTTTAAGACTAAGATTTAAATTATGGTTAGTCCAAACTGAGAGTGTTTGAGAAAAGGATGCTGAGAAGAATATCTGGACCAAGGGTTAAGCCCTTTGGATTGTTTCGGCATAAAAAATGTCCTGTCCATCGCATCTCAGAGCGTCCCGATAATTTCCACTAAAACTAAAAATGACTTCCG